TGGCAGTGTTGTTCATGAGACATACATGTGAATCATTTTGTTCAGGGGAAGCCAGGACAGCCTCATCCAGGTCTGATACTTCTGACTCTGCAGAGTCTATGTAAAACTCTTCCTTAAACAGAACAAATGCATTTGATTTTTTTAATATCATGTATACATACTGAAATGTAATGACTCATCTGATAAAAGAATCTGATTTCACATTCTTTTACTGTATAGATACAGCCACTTAAAATGGCCACGTGGTCCTTGATTGCATCTGTTGGAGCCATTTGTATTTTAACAAATTTCAGAATATTAAAATATAAAGTTTGTTGTTAGTTTACTTCTATTTTTGGGTTAATCATTTTTTATTTGTAGGTTAATGCTCACTTCATTGTTTTGTTGTTTATCTTATCAAGTCAGCCAGGAAGAATTTCAGGGCTATTTTTGATAACTTAAGAGACTGGTATAAGACCAGCCTGCACTGAGATGGGCCTTTTGTTTTGTTTTTTTTAATTCGAGAGACAAGCAGCATGAAGCAACAAAAATGGATCTTGTTATTGGTTGCCAAAATGGATCAATAAACTATACAATGCAACTTTCAAGTTTTGACAGTGCAGTTTTCCCTGCGCACAAAAGATTATCACAGGGCAGCAGTGTCTTCTTTTCCTTTTTTTGTGAAACATAAGGAACTGCCACTCCAGTGCCCATTTACTGGGAATAGTTTGGGTGATTTGTAGTTCCAAGTGTCTGAATGGTCAGGCTGACTAAAGTGTTATTGATGCATTTTTAGCAATTAAAAATACCAAAATCACGACATCAACAAATCTGAAAAACATGAAAAAGCAAAACAGAAACCGAATGAGGCAATTAAACCATTGGTCTATATTCAGAGCACATAAATGTTATCAGTTCAATACATGCAACCTTTAAAATTTTAATATTCGCTGGTCTCACCCCATATATTGTACTTATTGAGTGTCTATTTACCTATGGTGTGTGCTTTATAAGTTCCAGTTTACACTTAAGTTTTGGCATGTTATTCAACAACTACCACTTGCCTGTTAACCTCTGGTTCCTGGAGA